CTGAAGTTTAGACAATGTCCGTCACACGTGCAATTTGTGTAGGTTGACTTATTGTCGAGTTTCGTGTATTGATAAGTCACATTTATAACTTTGATGTGTTGAATGAATTTCCATTCCATTTCAAAAAAAAAAAAAAATTAGACCACACGTTTCGATTTTCGATTTTAAAATCTAGAATGGATAAATTTTAAGTGGCCACGAATCAGTAGGCTATCTCAAATTATTAAGCGGTCAAAAGATGATATAGTCAACTTAATTGTCATTATCAACGTGACAACTCGTTCATTATTAGGTATCATAGAGCAACGTGTATCTTCTTTTTTATAACTAAAAGATTAATCCAAATCGGAGGGAACATCAACTGTGGATTTAATAATTTTCAGCAAATGTGGGACTCGTAAGACTAATTTTGTTCTTATTTTGAATAAGAAAATAATATAATAATTTTTTTTTTAAAGGGCATTTTGCAAGGACGAATGTTAAAACTTTTAATATAATTCGTTCGCATTATAAAATAGAGCAATTTCATATAATAATCTTAAAATTAACCTTATATAATTATTAGTAAAATAAAAGTTATTTAAAAAATTATGAATTAATAGGGGCAGGCAACTATTTGAAATAATTCTCTTTTTATTTTGGAAAATATAAAAAATGACATCGACCAAAAAAATGACGATGGTGAATATATTTTATTTTATTTTTAAAGAAGTGTAATTGATCACATTTGTTGTCTTCATGCCATGGCCCTGTTTGGTCCATATTTTTTATTTCAATCTCATTCTTCTACTCATTTTCAACCACACATTTCTCAATAAAATAATATTTCTCATCGTATCAATAATTTTTCTTTCTTTTTCAACCACATATTCCACATCACATCAACAGTAAAAATACATTCTTACCTTCAAAATTTATGCCTAACATATCTCCATTAATTCTTTATTTATTCCAAAATATTTTCAAGTCACATCAATTTTTGCTTTTTTTTTTTCACGTTTTATATACCAAACATGCATGGTTTCATCATCGTCTTACAATTTTTTTCTACTTAAGACTCTATTGGAGTCCCATTTTCTAGAAAATAAATTTCGTAATAGTTATTTTTTTAGAAAATATGTTGTTAAAAAATATTGAAATTTTTTGAATTTAAGTGTAAAATTATTTTTATTGAAATAATATGGAGTCGAAATTCGAAAATGAGTTTGAAGAAAAATATATTTTTAGAGAACGAGGCTCAAATATGGACTAAATAGTATCCATGGAACGAATGTTAATAAAAAAAATTACAAATTAAAATAATATAACTTTAAATAAACTGATGAAATTGACCACAAAATTTAAAACTGAGAGTCTCTTGACAAACCATCCTCCCAATATACTTATAACATATCACGCCTTGTTATCTTCTGATTTTCTATGTCCCGAAGAATTAAAAATGTATTGAGAGGATCAATATCGAGACAATAAATTTAACAGTATGTGTGTTTGAGCCACATTATTTTGGAAGAATGTATTTTGGAACAGTAGATTGATGGAGAATGAGTGGTTGAAAAAGAAAGAAAAATTATTGATGCGATGAAAAATATTATTTTATTGAAAAATGCGTGGTTAAAAATAAGCAAAAGAATGAAAATGAAAATTTTAACGTGACTCAAACAGAGACTTAGATTAAAAATTCATCGATATTTCTAATATAGTAAATGTTATCGTACATACAATCATACCCAAGTAAAGACATTTTGTTCGAATTTGGTGTCACCTTGGTTGACCGATCCTCATATTGCACCGTGGGTCTCGCATGAATTAAATAATGTCGACCCCCTATGTGTGTGTGTTCGATCAATCGAGGTGTTATTCAAGATGTTCATATAACATTACTCATCATACCCAGCAGGAGAGGTTCGCGATTGTACACCTTGGAAAATCAAATAGTCAATATATAGTAATAATTCAGTTGCCAATGTCAAATGAAACGGCTTATCTTGGCAGCCTTTCGCTCAAGCTAGATTTAGGTGATTATGATACGAAATATTTGGTTTGACTTAGAGAATTTAAAAATGCCATGCGTGGAAGTACATACTACATGATTAATTTATTTAGGATTATTTTATTTCTGAAAATACTCATTTTATTTGGTAAAAATTAAAATCAAAGTTCTCAACTCATTTTAACCACATATTTTATGAAATTCAAGATTTTTTAAATATATATTTCATCAATTTTTATGAAAATCAACTAAAAAAATTGATTTTAATCCCAATGGTGAAATTGCTGACATTCGATGTTATCAATACATCTCAATCAAGTATTTGTCCATACCAAAATATTTGCAACCTTTGCTATTTTTTATTCACGTATGTTACTATATATATGCTTGGTTCACACATTCTAGTCGCCGAGATTTTTCGTAAAATATAATAGATTACATACAACATGAATATATGATTATATCAATTAAATAAAGAATATACACCTCATGTTTGATAAAGATTAAAATTTAGATTTTAATTTAAATCAAAGTCAACTATATAATTTCAACCACTTATTTCATGGGATCCACAACTTTTCAAATATACATTTCATCAACTTTTATCAAAATATAATTAAAATCTGATTTTAATTCCTACCAAATAAGGGCCACAATAAAATTATTGGTCAAAATGTTTAAAACTCTTAAAAATGAGAGACATTTATTTGTTTAAATGTTATATTCAGCTTATCTTTCCACTTATAGGCTAGATTTGTAGAGGCCTAAGACCGAGTCCTAACCATCTTTTGCCTAACATCATGTTTTGCGAGCTCAGATCTCCTCGATCCTCTTCTTGTTTGGTACAAATTTTCATTTTCTACAGTAAATTAATTCTCATTTTTAACCACACATTTTTCAATAAAATAATATTTTCCATCGCATTAATACTTTTTTCTTATTTTTTAACCACACATTTCCTATCATATAACTATTCAAAAATCAATTATTCCCCCAAAAATTCCTACCAAACACACTCTTAATAAATGGAAAGATGACAACACACTTTGATGCTTTAACGTCTTCCAATTTACTAAAAAGATGCGATACATTAGGGTGTAGAAAATGTATTGGAAGATAATCGATCTTAACTCTATTTAAAATATTCGACTAAAAGAACATATATGGTGTTTAAATATTATCTCCGATTATACTATTTTCCTTTCTATGCTTTGGATTGTATATTGGTTAAATATATTGTCACCTCATTTTAATTGTATGGAATATCCATACTCTTTTACTCGTTATCACATTTATGTCATAATTTTTTTGATCGTATTCTTATAAACGATTTTCCATTAGATAGCACATTGTAAGGTTTTCGTCCAAAAAAAATTTATTCAGAGGGAATAAAAAACTTATCTTCCATCATATTTGAAAATAAAAAAAGAAATGTATACAAATTGCAATTTAATATTTGTTCTCGTCTTAAAGCATGTCAACAAAAATATTGGACTAAAAAATAATCAGGACCACGATTTTAATATACTAATTAATAGAAAATTGATGATAAGAATAAGGCGGAACATTTTGAAGAACATAAATATGATAATAAATAAAAATTAGAGATCTTTAATAACACTAAAATTTAGTCAATATAACCAGCCTAGTTTTTTTCTAATTTTTATTTTTCTGGAAAACAGTTGTTGCATATGTGTATTGCTACAAATTAGCAAGCAGATAGAGAAACTATCTACGTTTAATAATGGGGTTAAGTGAGGTGGGGTTGGGGTTGAGGGAGACAATACTCCAAAAGTGATGTCCCAAAAGTCTAAAACAGTAGCTATCCAAGATCCTGTGCCCCACGGGTCAGGTTCTATCTCTCTTTATTTCTCCATCAAATTTTTAACATAAAAATCTATCTGATTTTTTTATTTATTTTTTAAAAGACGAGAGACCGACGACTCTCATGAGAGGTGCCTCCGCATTAGATCAGCGAAGTTTTTTGTTTTTTTTGGGAAAAAAATTATTTCAAACACGGTCCACAATCACGATTACGTGAGTTTGGACTGTTCAGTTAACCTTTTGTACTGGAATTTCAGTTGGTCGGACCTAACCGGGCTTTAGAGGTTGGTGTAAACGGGAAGCAGAAGTGAGGACGATCCAGATCCAGGTGGAGCCTCGAGATACCTAGGCTTTTATGTTTTGGCTTCCTAACATGTACAGTTGGCTTGTTAATTGAATTTAGTTAATTCTGCTTCATTGATGTTCATCTGTATATGTTTTTACTTAATTATATTGCATTGTTAATCTTGCAATCACTTTCACAGCACAATTGGCTTAGTGAGAAGGGGTTAGATCATCTTTTTGTTGTATTGTGATTAATTTATAAATAGTTGAATATGCCCCTTTTGACAAATATAAAGAAGTCCAGTAGGCTCCCTTAGAATATCATGTGTATTATGAGGATTAGAATGTGACATGTTTGGCCCCAGAAGCAAGTTGATCTATGTCCCTTTGAATATCCTGTGTATTAAAGCAGTTCATTTATTTTCAAGCATGTTGATCTATGTGAAAAACATTATCCTGCCGAAACAAACCCATAGTTTCTTCATCTGTTGAGATATCTTTATGCTAGGTCCCTGGAGGTTATTGAAGTAGTCCTTCAATTTGTATGTTCTCGTGCTTTGATTGTTTGTATCCTTTCATATTAAATCATAATATCAAATCATGTTAAAGGAAATCTCATCTAATAATAACGCCCGGCATGTTAGCGAAAAATTTTGATTGTTCTATTCATTCGAAAGGTATATTCATAGAGTAGATTATCATGATTTGCTCTTTTTTTTTTTTTTTTTTTGAATATCGATCTATGAAATCATCTCGTGGTACATTGAACTTGCAGATATGATATCATAGTATAAGCCGATCTCAAGAAATTCTGGACGCTTGATAAGCCTTCATTTTGACAAAGAACTTCCATTAGCACCAACTTATTATTGTTAAGAAATCTGTTGGTCTACCTGCTTTGATGGGCTGTTTTCATTCTAAAAAACTACGACAAGTCCCTGGTTACGAGAACCCTACTATTCTTGCATCCGAGACACCTTGTGAGTATTCAAAAAATAATACAAACTTTTTTTGTGCATATAAAATACTTCTTTTCTAATTGTTTTATGCTATCAATGCTTAGTTTTCATTTCTTAACCATGAAGTCCTTGCATCTTGTTTTGTCAATTTCTGAATATGTGTTAATAACTTTTAGCTGCTTGATACTTCTTTTAGGCCAAGAACATAATGATGTTGTATCCTGTATCTGTTTCTTTTTATCTCAAGGCTAAGGATATGAGTGCTGGAGATGACTAGAGGTTCAGGCCTTGAAAATTGATTAACTTCATTCCCAACACTAATGTTGGTAATATTTTCAGTCGACTTGAACACAGACCATATGATTATTAGGATCAATTTTTTTTTTTTCGTTTTTAATTGATAATCATGGGGGAGGGATTAATGTGATCAATATGTGTTTTAGTTATTGAAACTTTAAAAATTTAATGGCCACGAATAATGATCAACCAGTTATTGCCACATTGAAATATGCTTTAGCTAATTGATTAAGCTAAAACATGTGATCAACTCTCACCCTGCTTAGATTGCATTATGCTTCTTCATTCATTACAGTCGTTATTTCGATCCTAGCTAAGGAATGGGCTAATGTGGTTTCATTGAAAACATTGTCTTGCAGTCACAGTGAGTGAAGTTGAGGCATTGTATGAACTATTTAAGAAAATCAGCAGCTCAATATTCGATGATGGTCTCATTCACAAGGTATTATTACAATTTTTTTTTGTCAATAATTTTCATTCCCAAGTGTTTGAATTTTTAACATTTTGTGTAACGAGTTCAGGATGAGTCCCAATTAATGTGGAGTAACTTTCTTGTGATTTCCTGATCAGGAAGAGTTCCAGCTAGCACTCTTTAGGAACAGAAACAGGAGAAATCTGTTTGCAGACAGGGTAAGTTATCACGACTCCTATCTCCTGCACATTCCTTTTTCGTAATGCATGCATCTGTATGTGAATATCTGTAAGTTATGAATCTTGGATGTCTATGTAGATATTTGATTTGTTTGATTGCAAACGTAATGGAGTGATTGAATATGGAGAATTCGTTCGATCATTAGCTGTGTTTCACCCCAACGCACCAACAGCCGACAAAGTTGCATGTAAGAAATAATTTATTATGAACTATGTTGCAACTTATATAGCTATGCTTCTGTTTTCCCCATCTCTAACCAAAGGTAATTTTCCCACAGTTGCGTTTAGATTGTATGATCTAAGGCACACTGGTTATATTGAGAGAGATGAGGTAAGTGCCTAGTCCTCTGAACTTGCTTATTTTTGTCACCTAGTTCTCCAAATCCTAAACGTTTTTCAAAATTCATTGATGCTGGATTTGAAGTAAAAAATGTTTTGTGTTCATTTTTTTAGCTCTAATTAATGGATAATTTTCAAGTTGATATTTTAGCCGCCTTATAACTTCGCTTTTGATTAATGTTTTTAATCTCTCGTGTAACTTGTCAGTTGTACGAGATGGTATTGGCACTGTTGGACGAATCTGATCTGGTATTTCCGGATGATGTGGTTGAAATGATTGTCGACAAGGTGAAAATGGCTCAACTTTTCTTCTCTTTACCGTTCCCATCTTCATTTGAAAATGTTATGTTATTTTCCGCTTATTTTCTGTAGACATTCAGTGATGCTGATACAAAAGGTGATGGAAGGATTGATCCAGAGGAATGGAAAGAATTTGTATCAAAAAATCCATCTCTTATAAAGAATATGACTCTTCCATATCTAAAGTAAGTGTGACACTAAGTGCATTTCATATTGCTCTGCTCTCTTGAAATGGCGTCACTTCAAACCAGAAATTTTAAGTTTATTTCCGAATCATTTTAGTGTCTTGTGCAATCCTTCTTTGTTTACTATCGTTTTCATTTGCATTTCAGAAGCCAATTTTCTTCTCTTCTTTTACATTTACTATTCAAGTAGTAGGAAACATTTCCGTGGCCCAAACTGGCGTCGGTATGGATCTTTTTAGTAAGAGGTTTGAAAAGTAGTTTGATTTTTTTAACTTTGTGCACTAGTAATGATGTACCTGAGTATGAGGCAGTGCAAAGCCTAATCATATTCTACCAATTAACCCTCAACCCTGGATCAACCTACATGTATATTGAGTATAGCATGCACATATTAGGTCGCCCAAATAATCCTATTATATAAAGGGGCTTCTTTTCGGGGCCCTTTTTTAGGTAGAGGCTCTAGAAACCTTGTATTTCTTCTTCAGTGAAGCCTATAGTGAGCAATGGACGCGATTCTCACGTTAAGGGTAAACCATTATGAGTATTTGTATGCTTTGCTTGTTTTCACATTTCTTTCTATTTACTATTGTTCCCTTATGAAGGGATTAAGGCTTAATTCCAAAATAAAAAAAAGGTCTAAACATATTGCATTGGCTTTTCCAGGGATATAACATTAGCATTTCCTAGCTTCGTGCTGAACACTGAAGTGGACGACTCAGAAATGTAATGTCGTGGTTTGGCCAAAATGTTTTACCGAGAGTCTCATCTACTGGTCTTCAAAAGCAACATCCTGTTAGAAGAAAAAGATTCAGTTGATGCAGTATATTGATAAATAGACGAGTTTGTCTAGATTTCAAGATAGCAGTAGTTTCTGCTGTTCGATTACGTTCGTAGGGAATTTTGTGGTCGTGTTTGTTGTATATAATCATTGGCCATGGACAATTTTGTTCTGTGTTACACTGTAAAGGGACACTCTCTGTACTTTTTGAATGAGGCTCATGATCAGGGCCGGCCCACATATTTTGGGGGCTTTATGCTAACTTCAAATATGGTCCACCCATTTGATAGAGATTAAACTTAGATTTTTGAAAAAAAAATCATATATACCTTATTAATATATAATAATTTCATTTTATACTATTAAATTCAAATAATAATCTAAAATACTTCAAAACCCCAAATGAATCGCAAAAGTACTGCACATTAAACTTTCCATTGTAACTGAAATTTTCCAATGACACAGAAAACTTGTGTCATTAAGGTCCGTTCGATTGGAAATGTGAAAAATTGATGGAAAAAAAATGAATTTCAGGGAATTGAATTGTCTAAAATTGTTTTTACTGTGAATTGTAATTAATTGTGTTTGATTGATATAATTTTTCACTGAAAAATGTTGAAAGTTTGGTGTCCGTTTAACTTTGTTTTTCATGGAAATTGTTCATAAAAGTGATAATTTTTTCTACGATTGAGTCTAAAATTTGTTCCAATTGTAAAAAAAAAATAATAATAATAATTAATTTAAAAAATTACCACACCGAATACCATTCGTTTGATTTTGTTTTGCATAGAAATTGTTAATAAAAGTGATAATTTTTTTTACCATTGGGTCCAGAATGTTTTTCAATTGCCAAAAAAAAAAAAAAAAAAAAAAAAAACAGAAAAAAGGAATCCCACCAAAACTTGAAAAAAACTTTTTCCTTTTAACCATTCGTTTGACTTTGTTTTACATGGAAATTATTAAAAAAAGTGATAATTTTTTTACCATTGTATCTAGAATGTTTTTCAATTTCAAAAAAAAAAAAAAACCTGAAAAATGGATTCCCACCAAAACTTGAAGAAAACTTTTTCCTTTAAAAGCTAGAAATGAGGCGCGAGAGAGAATCGGAGGGAAAACTAATTCCTGGTCAAATTGGTGCTGTCAAACACTACAATTTGTGAAAAGTGGAAAAACTTTTCCAATTTCCAATGAAAATTGCTTGTATCAAACAGGGCCTAAATTCAAAAGCAAAACATATGGAATTCAATTTCAAAATTAATTTACTTGCTACGATAATATTGAAAGAGGACTTGTGAATATCCATCAAGGGCAATCATGTCAGATTGATTACATTGAGGTAATCCTGGTGTTTGACTTCAGACGAGAGTTCGCGGCTCAGATTTTATTTTTTCATTTTTTTGCAAAATGACTGAAGGTAGTACATTCATATGCTATGTTTTTAAATTCCATTTGTTTGTGCCATTTTTTGAAATGAATGTGATTCTTGACCAGCAGCAAATGAATGATCTAAGCTGTTGACTACGTTGCTATAATTTAACATAGAATTATTGAACAAAATAATTTCAATCCCATCCACAGAATTTCATTTTGCTAGAATTCGAATTCTTGCGCTCCTTTAGCCTTCCAAGCCATATCTTGCACAAAATTATTGTTCACCTCTGGTCATGAAGACGATTTCGAAGATATCGAAGATGTGGATGATGACGGACCTTCATCTGCGACATTTGAAGGGGGACTGAGAATCCCAGAAACAATCTTTAGCAAGTTTTTTGACTATCAGAGAGTTGGTATACAGTGGCTATGGGAACTATATTGTCAAAGAGCAGGCAGAATAATTGGAGATGAGATGGGTCTTGGTAAAACCACCCATATTTTAGCTTTCCTTGGATCATTGCATTTCAGTAGTATGTACAAACCAAGCATTGTTATTTGTCCTATTACCCTCTTGCGGCAGTGGAAGAAAGAAGCTATGAAATGGTATGCAAGATTTCATGTGAAGATATTACATGACTCTGCTCAGGAAATGATCAGTAGGAAAAAGCGATCAAAATCAAATGAAAGTGATTAATTGCTTGACAGTGATAGTGAAGGAAATTATCTTCTAAAAGTACCTTTGGTTATTGCAAAGAAGCTTTGAGAATCAGCTAATTTATTTTTAAAATTTACACAAAAATCTACTCATTTCCAAGAAATACATTGTGTTAGGCAAATTGTTGTCAAACGACCTCCCCCGGGCGATGATGAATTACGTTGTATTAATTCAGTCGGCATAGTCCAAATGACTGAAAGTTAATCGAACACCACAATTGGTAAACCGACCATAAACCGACTCAAAACTTGGATGGCCCACCTATGTTTCTACTTGGGCCTTAGCTTGCTTATTGGGCCTAACCTAATTCTATATGTATGCTAACNCCAGTTGAACCATGTGATTACCAGATGAACCACTAACCCATTGACTCGCTGCATTGTCCGGGTCTGTGTCAGGGTCAAATTTGACAAATATGGTTTGGCTAACTCAAATGCATAATTCTTCGAACTAATATGGAAAATTTTGTGACCAACGTCAATGGATTACGATAAATGTGGGGGCGGGGGAGGGGTAACTCAATCATCAATCACTTTTTTTGATGGTTGATCGCCCTTCATTGTTTCTACTTATTTGCGAGAAGTTAGAACTTTGCTTATATAAGACAATTAAAATCGGTTTTAACCATTGGATTAAGATGTTCGTCTAATCAATTCAATAAATGTGATGTTTTTCCATAAAGTTAAACTATGAATGTTAATAATTCATCATCCACATCTGAAATATAGTTAACACAGCAATGTTATAGATAATATCAAATTTCATTGAATGACAAAATGAGATTAAAGCTGCTAAAAAATACCCGACAAATTTAGAATCTTCACAATCCGGTGCAAATTAATCATCAAAAGTAAAATAGCTTTACCAAAACGATATCTGATTTTTTTTCAGAATGAGCAGACTGATCAAAAGTAAACTAGCATTTTCAGACCGATCAAAAGTAAAATAACGAATCCCAAAAGAAATGTACTTAATCTTCATCACAGCTACGCAATAATGATACCCTTAAGCTTACTCTTCCTCTTGATACTTCGTGGTATAAGATCGAAGTCAGTCTCGTGACCTTCGATAGGTGTAAATGCGGAATTAAAACTTTAATTAATAAGCAATAAGTCACAAGTTAATTATGTTTAGGTGATTAGTCAAGCAGTTTAATTAATCATATCTTTGAATGCCACAGTAAATCAAAACAATAAGTATAGCAGTAAACAACACCAAAAATGTTCACGGAGAAATCCAATGCGGGAAAAACTCTAGGCACTTTGCTAGTCAAAGATCCACTATAAACTTTTGATAAACTTACAGACTACCAACAAAGTTGGCGAAACAAGCTTTCTGATCTCCTGAAGTTTGAAGCAACCCTCCTGGAATGTGCACACTAACACCAATCCTGGCTCTTCTTTAAAGGATCCAACCACCAACCTCTATAAATATAAAATTAATATTTATCATTTATGTACACTTTTCCATAATTTTCGTTGTTTACAGCCCTACGCATAAATTTTCTCTCTCTCTCTCTCTTCACACACACTCTTAAGTATTGGAGGGACGACGATGACACAACCCTATACTTTTGTTTCAGGAACTGGAGATTAAGTTTCATCCGTTTGCAGTCATCAAAGGGATTCTGTTCATGCTCATTCCTTGTCTTTAAATTCGAGATTATTCAGGTGCGAATTTTGGTAGCATCAGTAGCCATCTAGTTTTCTGTTCCAACTTGTTGTAACAATAAAATGCACCTTCTATGTGGACTTTCTTGATTTTTGTAATTTCTACATGAAGAGAAATAATTCAAATATGTACCTTAGCCTTTGCAGTTTAGTTTTACTGCTGTCTATAGTCATGTAACTGTAGAAGTCCATGATTTTTGTTCATTGTGTACGTCTATCCCAACCATTCCCTCGATCGAGCTCGACCATGCGTCCTCTTGCCTTCTTTCTTTATTCATGGTACATTGTCATTTTTAGAGTTTTCATATTCATTCCTGTTTAATAAATTCCCTCTAGAATTTATCACCTCAAGAACTAATTCTCACAAATAACAATGAAATGATAGAGTATTATTTAATGATTTATATCACATTATTTATTAATCTATATTTGCAAGACAAGGCTCCTCCATCAAACTGTCGATATCCCAAGATACCTTCCTCCATTAAATTTTGAGGGCCTCCAAATTAATTTATTAATTTTTTTCTACCCACTTGAAATCCTCAACCTTTCATTGAGAAATACATTTTTTTCATTATTATTACGTTCTCGAACTTTGGTAAATTGGTAGGGTAAATAATATTATTTTTCTCTTTTAATTATTTTCGTTACACCATACCATGTGAAGAATACAAGTATAATGAATTTTGAAACCCATCATCTTCGAATCCAAATTCTTATATCAGCTTTAAAAAACCTCCCAAATATTTTAATCCATTCCATAGGTAGTGGCATAGCAAGGATGTTAAATGGATCGAACCAAGTTGCTAGATTCACTTATCGTCGTTTCGGATCGGTTCAGTCCACCATGCGAGTTAACTCGCATTCGCATATGGAGCGAGTGCAAGCTAGCTCCTTTAGAGATACCTGCTCGGTTCATCTCGTCCCACCAACTAGACCCGTTGGGGCGAGCCAAGCAGATAATGTGTTTTTCTTTCCTTTTTTAAATTGAAAATTACATTTTCACTCTTTGAAATACAATGAAAATGTGAGTTTGTAAGAAACAGTGAACGTAAAAAGTTCAATTTTCTCCAAAGAACTATCGAGTTGAAAAAATCATCTCCTTTGTCGGACTTGAGATCGACTACAATAAGTTGGTGAAGTTAAATTTATACATTGATGACCATTTTGTGTACAATTTTTTTAAACAAAAATAAATGAAATGTCAATGTACAATAATAAATATAAAACTCAGCATATCAAAAAAATTCGCGAAGATTATAATTTCTGAAAATAGTCACCAATTGTATTAGTTATCTCATTTTATCTGTTCATCACGCATCCGAATAGTCGCCCCATTCACCATCATAGTGATGCAAGTGGAGTACATTAGATTTCTATGAGATAAATCAGCTCAAATGTCTTTGAACAAATTCCAACTCCTAAATTTAACACCACCAATGGTTTGGTTTTGATTCAAATTCAATCCCGCGTGCTATTACTATGGATTCCAACTTCATGCCATTCATTTATAGCCTGTAATTCATTTGCGATATCTAAACTTGGCCGAACTCTCCCATTTACTGACATTGAAGTGAAAAAATCTGTGTCCGGGCTGTTACTAACTTTAAAATTAAGAATTAAATGGGGGTTGGAGTCATCCAGGTGTCGAGAAAGCTGCATCATTTGATTTGATTGGCCACTTGCTGGGTGCGCATATCATGTGAGTCACATAGTAGTTGTTAGTTGTTCCAAGAAATTAATTTAATTTATTACATTTAAACTCCACCGACAGAATTGCATTAAATTTTTGCTACGGATTTTTCACGAACGTTTCGCAACCACACACAGCCTTGACCGAAAGTCTAAACGTAAAAACTGTAATTATTGCCCCTAAATGTTTGAAAAATTACTCATTTTGATTCATGTTTTTACCCAATACTTCAAAAACAAGTAATTAAATTAATCTATCGGTTATAATTATATTCTTGAAACTTGGAAACCCATTTCTATTTATTGAAATTGAAACTATGAATATATATATATGTTTATATACCATAAGAAGAAATTACTTATGAAACTTAAGTAGACAGCCCTGCCAAGAAAGCAACCCCAGTACTAGGCAACCAGGCTGACCCATAAATAAATTGTCCCACCGTGAATCGACTAGCCTCGATCGGGGAAGTGATTGCACGATAACCCGGCCATTTCACGCGTTGCCAGACTGCACCAGCAGGACCGTAGTTTTGGTACTCTCCATAGTACAATGTGTCGAGTGCAAATGTTGCATTCCACTCGAGCCATCCCCTAGGGTGAACATGATCGCCCAAGTAGGATAACATGTAGACAGTCCGCGAGTACAATTTCCATGGCCGTCCTAAGTACGTGGGATATGCTCCCTTTTCTTTCTGGAGGTCAGGCTCTGCTACGATTCTGCAAGCATGGATAGAAATGCCAGTGTTTTGGTTAGGGTCCTTGCGGTTTTGAGCGGTGATGGTGTTCTTTTGAAAAGGAAGAGGCTTTCGGGCATGAATGGTGCAATTTTGGAACACAACTGCAGCATTGCCAAATATGAAGTCCACCGTACCATATATGTCGCACTCACGATAAAATTGTCTTTGTGAATGCACATATAATGTGTCTTGATATCCAATAACATTGCATCTATAAACCACTGCATGATCGGCCCCAACACGTAGCGCCACCGCTTGATGCTTGCTCGGCCCAGCATAGTTTTCAAATGTCATGTCTTTCACAATGAATCCAGCACCAGTGGCCGCTGAAAAAAGTAAAAAAATGATCAAGAATTTTCCAAACCAACATATAAATTTGATATCCTTGTATGCAAATAATAAGACAATACAACATAACCAATCTATGGTGTTTTTTTAGCAAAAATCAAAGTGGGACACCAATTTGCAAGGTCTTTCGTAGTTTGTTGAAAAAGGGGCCTAAAAACAAGACACCTATCCCCTATGACCCACCAATGAAGTGATCTCTTTTGTATTATAGCCACCAATTTATGGGGTCATGTCCCTATCAAATATCGGTCTTGTTACTTGTACATCATATTTTACATCGAGGTGTACACCCCTCACATGAGGATGGGATCGGCTTAGATTAAAAAATAATTTATGCAATGGGTCCCACACCCCATGTGAGAGGGGTGTAGCCCCTTATGTACAATTTGTGATGTACAAGTAGCATTTTTGATCAAATATTGTAGAACAAAGATAAGAGAATCACTATATCATAATTTTTTAACGTGGATTAGAATAACAATACTTAGAGCGCATTTGGTTTGCCGCTTTGAGATATTTTCAGTTTTCTAACACTCTCAAAATGTGTATGGTATGTTATTTTCAAATAATTCATTTTCGAAAATAAAGAAAATCTTACAACATAAAACTCAAAATGACTTTTTTAAGTTTTGACTATTTTCATTGAAATCAGTCAAAAAACTCAAAACGGATGAACTAAAACATTACTCAAATTAAAATAATTAATAAAATCACACAAAACCTACTTAAATACAAATACCCATGAAACTAAATAATCACATATAAACATCAAATTCATACATTTTACTAAATAATCAAATTTATTAAAAAAAATGCCATAAAACTATTTCTAAAATTTTTAAACCAAACGCGTTTTCTAAATTTTTGTTTTGAGAAACAGTTTTTGGAAATAACAAACAAAATACTTTTTCTATAATCTTAAAATAATCTCTCAAAACAAAAAAGCAAAAAACGAATTCAAAATTGAAAGTAGAAACGCAAACCAAACGCACCCTTAGCTTTCCAAGGAGTTTAAAAAGTTGAAATGACATTTATTGTACATTTTCATTTTGTCAAATTTATTATTACTAGGAGATTTATTTATTTTGTACCTTCATTCTATTGATGTGATAGTGAGATGATGGAAATAATTAAATAATAAATAAAACGGGTAGAAAAGTAATTTACCAAATGACGCGGTGTGGAATGTTGTTATGTTATCTTGGACGCTTCTTCCACCATAAATGACTGTTTTGCCCTTTCCATCGCCTATAAACATTATATTCGTCTTCTTCCTTCCTACTTTCAAATTTTTTTCCTCGTACCTTGAGAAAGTATTCGTCGAAAACAAAAAAAAATAATTAGTGATCCCAAGCACACATGTATGTGATATAGTTAGAGCTTGTTTGGGATAGGTTTTTAAGGGAAGAATTGATTTTGAATAATGATATGATGGGTAATGTGTGGTTGAAAAAGAAGAAAAAATTATTGATGTGATGAAAAATATTATTTTATTGAAGAATGTGTGGTTGAAAATGAGAATTGATTTACTGTTGAAAAATTTAATCCCTCCCAAACAGGACCTAGATTAAGTCCCTATTTGACAACCATTAAAATAAAACTCTTTTTTTGTTTTCTCGAACTCATTTTTAACTAACAACTCTCAAAATAAATATCTTGTATGTAAAGTGTAAACCCAAATCTTTTTCCGATTTTTTAATTGCATACTCTCTAAAAATGCACTATTCTTAAACTCATTGTCTCTAAAAATCTCATTTTAGTGATTGTCAAACAGGAGTTAAGTCTTCATCCCACCAAAATCCGGCTTCTCTCTTCTCCAAAAAAATTGTGTTTTTGTCTAAACGTACATGCCAAAAATATCGGAAGAACTAGAATTGGTTCAATCGGTTCCCAATTTTGCCTCTGGATCAACAATTTTTCATTTATTTTAGACTAATGCAGTTTTCATCAACAATTGAATCTCTGAACGATTCCCAGGTTTTTTTGTTGAATCGATCGATCCAGTCCAATTTTGAAAATGTTGAAGATAATCGTCAAAATAAATCAGTGGTCTGAATGACATATTTTCTAAAGTTTAGCAGTGAGTCTGAAATAAATTTAAGTTCAGCGTCTAAAATGTAAAATTAAGGGATAATTGCAGCATCGATACCAAACTTTTCACTTTTTTTTGTAGACTTTACTCAAACCTTTTATTTGTGCCACCCACGATACCAAACATTTCAAAATGTCGCAGCTGGAGTCCAAGTGGATGAAAATCGTTAATTTGAACATTACTTGACCAAGAATTAAAAATTTGACCAGATATTGACTAATTTTAAAAGTGTGAAAATGTAATTTTATATTTTACATATANTTGTACGCGGATTAGGCATTTTGATAAAAATAAAATAAACCCAACTTGCGGGAAGGTTAACAAATTCCCCCGTTGCAGATTAAAATCAGATTTTGAGTAGATTTTGATAAAAAATGATGAAATATGTGGTTGAAAAGTTGTGAGTCTCATGAAATGTGTGGTTAAATTAATTGTTGATTTTGACTTAAAATTAAAATCAGATTTTAATTTGTATCAAACAAGGAAGCATTTTAGATGAGATGATTATTGGTACCTTGTTTGGCCACAGGCTCGTGATATGGCTATGGAGGGCCTCCTAAGCCGAGTCTCGGCCGAGCCTGATTTCTTCCGTAGCCCCACTAATACTGCAGCAGAAATGGCGGAAGCTACAATGAGAATCGACGCCACAATCAAAAGAAATTTGAGTTTGCTTTTTCTTGTGTGTGAATTGGGTTCATCTGATAGGCTTCGTCTTGACGAGCCACCAGGGTCTGTTAATCCGAGCCTGCCGTAGTTCATTGTTGTTTGCTAGAGAGAGAAAGGAGAATGTAGTATGTGAAGCCAATGGTGAATATAGAATAGGCTTACAACATGGAGTTATATATATACACAAAGAATATGCATTTATGAGTACATATAGTGACGGTAGACAAATGTTGGGGGTCCTTGGTGTGGGATCAAAGTGGACTCGACATGTAAAATTTAATCATACTGTTTATTATTGTGATTACAGCTCGACTTAAAGTATTCTTGTTGTAAGTATTTTTTTGTAAATTTTACAAAAAATAAACGTTTGTTGGCATTCAAATCTTCCTTCTGTGTTTAGGACTCATTCGAAAGAGAACCCATAATTCTTGGTCGTAAAATATCTAAATTGGTAGTTAATTGTTCAAGAATTCTTGCTGTTCATATTATCCATACATAATATTTTGATGTAAGATTTTAACTCTTCCATGTTTAGTATCTCATGGATAATGATAAGTGAACGTACATCTTGATGAACGTATGTACGTAAATCACTTCAAAATTTCAAATCGAGTATCGTGGTATGGGGTTTAATTTGTCACAACCTAGATGGTGAGTGGAGTGGAGTGGAATGGGGGGGTTGGTGTAAAGTCTATGTCGAGGGTATTAGCTGGCTTCTACTTGAGCATTTGGCGATGATAGTAGAGAGCAGTGTGTTCTCTCAGTTTCTTGAACTTTTCCTTTTGTTTTCTTCTTTGGGATCTGACTTTTTTTTGCTTTTATTCATTTCATCAAGAAATCAGTGGTCTAAAATAGACCACTGAATTCTAGTTTATTTCTGAAATATTATTGGATTGATTGTTTGAAAATAAGTAATTATTTGTTTAGTAGTGGGAAACAACCTTATCCTGTTTTAAAAATATTAGAATTATCCTCGACGAACTTTTAATGTTTATAGTGAGTGTACTAAGTTGAGATTAATTTAATTATAAGTAGTTTTAAGTGGGAAAATCGTATGATTACTTGTTGTAATCATTTCTAGTCATCGTCATTTGGTTATGACGACTTTGTCTTCAGATTCTAGAATATACAAAATGTCATGATTGAAGGTTAATTAGATCAAAAGGCAACAACAACGTATTTGATACGATGTTAAGAGATAATTACAAAAGATATGTACGTATATTAATTATAAATTATGTAAATCGTTTCACGCTTGCATATGGGGAGCTCGTTTTCAAAAATCCTGCCTCGTAAGCCAAGTTGTACGAGTCGATGAGCGACTCGCGCGAGATTTTTGCTCCTTGTCTCAGACGCCAGTCGACTAAGCGGCTCGCTCCACTTAACACTCTTATGTGCTAGTGATGAGCCTCGTAAGGAAGATGTGAGATTATCGACAATGAAAACGATTGATGAGTAAGTATTTACTGTTATCCAGAATTTATAAATTAAAAACTATAAATAGTTGGAGAAAACGGAAATAATGGAATGCCACCGACAATTAAATATATTATTATAATTCTGTTGGGTAACAGCTCTGTCCGAAACCATTTAACGTGTCATGCCATGCTATTGCACCCATTAAAGAGAAGTATAAATACGCCATTTAATTTTTGTAGTCCTCGCTAAATTATGCATATACGCCCACTTATTTGTTAAATTATACATATATGCAGACAAAATTTAGTATTTAACATTACCATGATGGAACTAGTAAGTTCGTGTTTGGCAATCGATCATTTGGAAAAAATAATTTTGAATAGTGATTTTTAGGAAAATATATTGTTAAAAAATAAAATAAAAAAAATTGGATTTTCGTGCAGAAAATTTTATTGCGAGAATGTGTGGTTGAAAATAAATATGTAGAAAAAAAAACGTTTTCAAATAATGATTGTCAAACATAGGGTTTAATTTCGATATGTTAAATTCATTGTTGATTCTACGAAATAAAGATGGGGATTTCAACATTCTGTATTCGATATCAATGAGTTCCAATCTCTCTACATTTTTGGGTTGTAGCATTACTAGTCATCATTGACATATATCGTTTTTTGAACTGCCATTCAATAAATTGAGCAATTATTTTTTAGAAAAAATAGAGTGTTAATTAAGTTGAGAGACAATATCCTAAAAACAGGGTATGTGATATGTTAGTACTTTTAATTCCTTAAATGTTACATGTGCATTTATAAACCCACACCTTTTTCGCTCTCTTCTTTTCATTTCTCACCTTAAAATGGATACAAAATCAACCCAACTTTTCTTAACCAACTTTTAAATACTTGGAGATAAGTCCATGTTTGTTGATGATTAAAATCGAATTTTTAGTAGTAGATTTTGATATAAGTTGATGAAATGTGTGGTTAGAAAGTTGTAGATCTCATAAAATGTGTGATTATAATTAATTGTTAATTTTGACTTGAATAAAAATCTTGATTAAAAAAAAAAAAAAGGTTGAATCCCGCCCCGCCCCTCCAACATCGTGGAGGAGGTAAATCGTGGGATGTGCCTCAGCGGGTCAGGGTACAAGAGCTGCTATACTGTTACCCACAAAGATTCAAATTTCATGCCTTGTAAGAGGTAGAAATTGAATACTCACATTGCGGCTGCCAGCTCAATTGAGACTATATCACTCATATCCTTTGCACCACTGAGCTATGCCCCGAGGGGCTAAAATCTTGATTTTAATTTTCATCATGAATAAAAGAAAACCGTTATGACTTGAATAAATAAAAAAATAATAAGAAAAAACACGAGTAAAGGACAACCTAACCGAATGGAAACACATGCAATGAGCCTAGGTTACTTTGCGACTACTCTTTTTTGTCAACCTAACCTATGATTGAAGCTCCTTGCACAATGATCAAGGAATGTTTTGCATGTTTCGTTGTATTAAAAAATAGTTAACTTTACTTATAATTGTATTGTCGAATGTCTACATATTTATTTACTCTAAAAAAAAGTAACTTTAAAACACAATCAAATATGAACGAAATTATCTTAAGGCGCTGATATTTAAAAATGTTTAAAATAAAAGAGTCGATATAATTTGAGAAAATAGAGTTTGATGTAAAAAAACTACGAACAAAAAATGACGCAAGAAAAGGTCAATATCACTTGAATTGTAGAACCGACAGCCTTTTAACTTTCTTGTTCCAACTCCACGCCTCAATTAGAAATATTTGCCATAAGCCTAACATTGTTTTAGCATACTTGTTACTACTCTTTTGGTCACACTAAGTAGGTGTTATATAAACTACATGCACAATAACTAATGATATGTTTCTTTATAGGGGTGTAAATATCTATAACGATAAAGAATATATATTAAACCCTTGCTTGAGCCCCATTTTTATTAAAATTTATTTTCAACCATAAAATTTTTAATAAATTAATATTACACGTAATTTCAAATTTTTTCCTTAATTTTTAACCACATATTTTCTATCAATCTATTATTCCAAAATACATTATTTTTCTCAAAATGGAGCGCAAACAAGAGCTATAAATTTAGTTAGGTCGAAGAGTATGGGATAGAGGTGTAACTGAAGGTAAGCAATGTCCAAAATATATGTAGAGATACAGGTTTGTCGGACATAGCTCTAGGAGCATGTTTGATTGCAAAGGATTCCATGAAAAATGTCACATTCGAGGAAAACGAATTCCACTTTGGCCGTTTGATTGTAATGTGAAAATGGGAATCGAATTCTAAGGTACAACCATTTTAAACTGTATTTTCTTTGTTTTCATGGAAAACGAATTCCTATGGGTTTAGTATGTTTTTATTTTCCAACTAATATGGAATTAGAATTTCTTTCCACTTTTGCCTATCAATCGGACTTAATACATATGAATTCGTTTTCCATGAAAATAAAGAAAATGTATCTTAAAGTGGTTGTACCTTGAAATTCGGTTTTCATTTCCACGTTGCAATCAAATTGCCAAAGTGAAATTCGTTTTCCTCGGATGTGACATTTTTTATGGAAAACGTGGCAATCAAATAGGACCTAAAATATTGGTAGGCTCGCCGTGAAGGCCTTTTTTAAAAAAAAAAATTCTTAATAGAAATGTTGTGCGCTACATAATTTTTTACTCAAGGAAAAATTAAGGGGCCAGTTTGAGTTAAAGATTATAATCAAGTGGATAACATGAAAATGATAGTTAATGCAAAGTGTTCCAAAATAATAATAATAATAATTAAGGAAAACTTAAATGGACTGACTGATGCGAAAGGATAGCCATTCCGACAATCAATTAAATAAGCACGTCCACGTATCATCCAGAACCAATAATATGGTTTATTATTTTTGTTTATGGGTCCAGAATAATAATTATTAGGGATTATTTTCTTAATCGTGTAATAGAATGTATGGTTTAACAAACGATGACATATGGGCGGTAGGTACAAGAGATAAGATTCCATTTAATTTCGACTATTTGGAAGATTATCTCCACACAACAACCCGTACTAATCTACACGACTCAAATCTCAAATAATAGTAATATAGCAAGACAAAAAGTTTAATATGACGTTATAGACATAATTTATGACAACATAAAATTTTTCAAACTCGACATTCTCGTCTCTTGGATGTTAACTTGTCAAGAAAAGTAGTCCAAATTCTTATATATTTGTTATAATTTTGATGTTTAATTGTTGTGGAATTAACGATATCTTTAAGTATAATTGTTCAACTGAACTATGAGATTTAGCCAACCAAATAAATAATGTTATCTAACATCAGTGGTGCAAAAGTAACAATTTAACTTACCAAACTTGATAGGTCCAATCAAATTGATTTTAACTTTGCATTTAATACTATCTAGTTGCCACTTAAACTGGTGCTAAATACTTATGGGTTGAATATCATTGCTTTTTCGCTAATAACACTGAATTATAATATGGCAAATTCCGTACACAAGACTCGATAAGAATACAAAACAACATACAATTAGTTGGTCCATCTCATAGCATACGACATTGCTCGGATTGTGACCAAGAGACAATAAAATATTATACGAGTCGCACGATAACCTAGCGTATGACGAGGACG